GTCCTATAAGGGTCGTACTCCGTCACAACTGGATTTTTTTTCTTTTTTCAAGATTCCTCCACAGAGTAAGTAGAACGACGACCTTTCTTTTCTTTCGGTGCTCTCTTCCCTTAGGAGACCCAAGTGCATCATTTTCAACATTTCTCTTGATCTCCATAGGCGTCCAGAGTTGTCTTTCTTGGATCTCAATGATAAATGATGACGGGTTGGTCACAACACCTACAATAAGCAAGAAAACAATCAATACTCATTTATTCTTCTTCCGCATCTTGAGGCACATTTTCTTCTTTTACTGTAGTTATACCGAAATCTTTCAAGTATGAAGTTTCAACTTCATTACTTGAAGGTTCTAACGTTCGTCGAACTTTATCCTGATTGTAGTATAATTAGTTTTTCTCAAAAGTACAAGATTAAATAAGATGAATATTTCTCGACTTGTTGAAAAACATACTAAGGTACTCGCTTCGCAATTGTTTATCCATTTTCCATCACATCATTCTCAAAAGTCCGCCATTAGCACAATGTTGAGCAAATTGTCTTCCTAACTCAGACAATGCCTCAAATGCCCAAACCTAATTAGCAAACAACAAAACAAAATTAACAATACAACTAACATAAATAAATAAAAAAGAGCATAAATATATATTTATAAGGAAAATACTATGATAGCCAAGGAAAATCCGTGAAAACAATACGTTATCGTCCTTGGATTTTTTTTATTACCGAAAGTGTTCCGCTTGAACAACTTTACGGTGTACCCATACGACAAGTTTCCCCAAGGATAACTATTAAACTACTCCAAATCTTCAACCTAATGAAACCATTTTTTATCTACAAGAGTCCGACACTCTATAGATAAAACCAAATGCTCAAGGACGTGAGAAGCCCCAATTTGTATTTCAACTCTGCATCTTCCTCCTTCTCCAAATTATCAAATTGCTCGAGCAAGTCTTTTTTTGTTATCTTCCCTCGCTTCCATTTGAATAGATGCAAAAGAGAACTCTTTCTTTCGAGGACCTCGTACGCAACATCATCCACAATCTTTAATCTGATTACAAGAGAAATTTTTGTAACCCGAATCTCGCTCCGTTTTCTCCAAACTTGAACCACGCGACATCTTTTTCATTCCCGGATGATTTCAAGGTCCTCCGAAGAAGGCGGTGGATTATTTGAGACGACATTTTAAGTCGAGAATGTGCACTAATGGGCGGAAGCAAGATTTCAAAAACAGATTTTGATGTCCATCATCTAGCTTCTCAAATACATGATTCACAACCTTGAAGTCGGACCCTATTGGTCAGGACTCCTGAGCATGTAGAAGGTATATCGAATACATACTCCATTTTGGTTCCTAAAAGCAGAGAAGAAAGACAATATATGTGATTCACAACATATGTTGTCTTTCTTCTCTGCTTTTAAGAACCAAAATGGAGTATACGTTCGGTATACCTTCTACATGCTCAGGAGTCCTGACAAATAGGTGCGACCTCAAGGTTGTGAATCATGTATTTGAGAAGCTAGATGATTCACATCAAAATCTATTTTTGAACCTTGTTTCTGCCCACTAGTGCACATTCCCGACTTGAAATTGTCGTCTCAAATAATCCACCACCTTCTTCGGATGACCTTGAAATCATCCGAGAATGAAAAAGACACCGTGTGGTTCAAGTTTAGAGAAAACGAAGCGAGATTCGAGTTACAAGAATTTCTCTTGTAACCAGATAAAAGATTGTGGATGATGTTGCGTATGAGGTCCCCGAAAGAAGGAGTTCGCTTTTGCATCTATTCGAAGGGAAGCGAAGGAAGATAACAAGGAAAGACTTGCGTGAGCAATTTGATAATTTGAAGAATGAGGAAGATGCCGAGTTGAAATACAAATTGGGGCTTCTCACGGTCCTTGAGCATGTGGTTTTATCTACAGAGTGTCGGACTCTTGTGGATGAAAAATGGTTTCACCTGGTTGAAGGAGCAGTTTAATAATTATCCTTGGGGAAACTTGTCGTATGGGTACACCGTAAAGTTGTTCAAACGGAAAACTTTCAGTAATAAAAAACCCCAAAGTCGATAACGTATCCTATTCACGGATTTTCCTTAACTATAATGATATTTTTCATATAAATATATATTTATGTTGTTTCTTATTTATTTATATTAATTATATTCTTAATTTTGTTTTGTTGTTTGCTAATCAGGTTTGGGCATTTGAGGCACTGCCTGAGTTAGGAAGGCAATTTGCTCAAAATTGTGCCAGTGGCGGACTTCCGAGAATGATGTGTTGGAAAATGGATAAACAATTGCGAAGCAAGCACCTTAGTATATTTTTCAACAAGTCGGAGGTAATTTTTGTTATGGATAATTCATCTTATTTATTCTTGTACTTTTGAAAAAACTAATTATACTACAATCAGGTTGAAGTTCGACGAACGTTAGAACCTTCAAGTAATGAAGTTGAAACTTCATACTTGAAGGATTTCGGTAAAACTACAGAGGAAGAACAAAATGTGCCTCAAGATGAGGAAGAACAAAAAAATGAGGTTGAGGATGATGAGAAAAAAAGGAAGAAAAAAAAAATGATGCATCTCAATCTGACCCACCACCACAACCGCATGTTTTGGATGCTGAAAAGGTTGCATCTATAGTCAGGGAAGTCGTAAAGGATGAGATGCGAATATTTTCGGAGCAAAAATGGAGATGAAGATTAACAAATTTTTTGACAGAATAAAAAATTTAGTTTTTCCAGCAAAAGATAGTTCATCTACCCGTGCTACTTATGACGGGACAAATGTTGATAATGTGCGGGATAAGGAGACCGCTCGAACAGTAGATCGTGTTGAAGGTATTTTTTTGAAATCATAGCATCATATTAATGTTATTACTCAAGTATTAGTTAAAATAAATAAAACAAATTATTTAATTTTTTTTAGTCAAATATATATTTTAAAACAAATGTAACATATTATTGAGTTACTTATTTTCTTTCTCTTCTGCAGACACGATCAATTCACCATCTCTCATGCCCAAAAAAGAAATGATGGGACTTCATGATGACGTGGGCTTGGAGATGAGGGCAAAGGTGATGTTGTTTTGTTTGAAGACTATTCTTCTGAGAAAAACGTCTCACCAATAATCTCGGACAAGAATAAACATGGATTTGATACCGGTATGTAAAATATAATTGTAATTATACGTAATCTGATAGTGCATTCTTGTTAATAAATGAGTATTGATTATTTTCTTGCTTATTGTCGAAGTTGTGACCAATCCGTCATCAGCCATCGTTGTGTTTCAAGAAAGACATATCTGGACGCCTATGGAGATCGAGAAACCAGTTGAAGATGATGCACCTGGGTCTCCTAAGGAAAGAGAGCACCGAAAGAAAATAAAGGTCGTCGTTCTACTTACTCCATGGAAGAATCTTGAAAAAAGAAAAAAATTCCAACTGTGACGAAGTACGACCCTTATAGGACAGTGAATCCAGCTAAATATGAAGATTTAAGTAGTTGTTGTCGAGCTCCCTTAAAAGGTATGTATTTTTGTTAAGTTAATTGTGAGCTACTTATTCTAATATATAAGCTTCTCTGTCTTTGTATAATTTACAGAATTTTTATGTAGTGCTGAAGTTGACTTACCTTGAGGTAAAGCACGGAAAGATTCTTTTTTAAAACTTCTAAACGATCAATGGCTTTCTAGTGAGGTAAACTATTTACAAAAATTTATTCGATATTTCTCTCTAAACATGATATTTACTAATGTAATAAACATTATACTCTTAACATATAGATGCAAACTTTTTTCACATTCGAGAGTGTACTATAGAGTTCCCTCTCTTGTTTAGACAAGATTGTGTCATCTTGGATGTACATTTGGTTCTTATGTGAGAAGGTTCTTTAAAGAGAGACAAAAGGGTCAAAACTTTGATACGAAAAAATTTCCAAAGGCCATAGTTAACCACGCCAAAGGGATCATACCCACTCATGGAAAGCCGTAGAGTCATTGTACTAAATTGTATGTTTCTTTTTACAATGAGAACAATGACCATTGGCTAGCACTCGAGATGTATCTCTCCGGAAGATGTATTTACGCATAATGGTAGTTCAACAAGTGTCATGCGAAAGCCACAACTTGATATGAAACTGAAGCCCGTTCGTGAGTTGGTACCGATGCTAATGAGGATGCTAGATGCTAACTACAATGCAGAAAAATTTGATGTGAAACGGTTAAAATCTCCTAGCCAAGCAAATGAGTACGTATAACATATATTTTGATCATATCAGGTTTATAAGTGTATTATCAAACTTGAGATATTGTACATTTATATCAATTTGAAACAGTTAAACTAATATATATTGTACATTTATACTGTAGGTTTGACTGTGGGATGTTTACAACCAAATTCATTGAGTTTTTGCATGCTAGGAAGGATGTTGAAGGCATAGATCAAAAAATGATTCCCTCTTGGCGTATCAAACTAGCAGTTGAAATTTTTTGTTCACATTTTAATGCTTAGTTTGTTATAGGAATGAAATATTCAATGGCTAGAACAGATGTTTTGTATATCACATTTTGACTGTTGTATTATTTTTTATGTGTTTTTCAATGCAATGAAGCGAGTTGTTAAGTTTTTTTTTCATGTATTTTCCAATGCAGTGGTTATTCAAATATTAGTATCTTTCTATTGTATTATATAACGAAGGTACAATCGTTATAATAGCTTTTTATCAAAATGACTAAAAATATTACTATGATGAGAGTAAAAATATTAAAACAAAGGTAAAAATATTACTATAAAGACAGTCATAATGAAGGTACATTCGTTATATAATACGTTATAACGAAGGTACCCTCATTATAGTTATATTTTCAATCATTTTATTGAATTACTACTGTCACGATTCTACATTCGTTATAATACATTACATAACGAATGAGCGACGGAGTTCGATTTTGAGATCCTAGAATTAAAGCGAGGAACCTTTTATTGATGTTAAAAAAAATGAAAATCAAGGCCCGCGACAGCCTTGGTGTCGCGCCCGCGACGTACTGGTAGCAAATCTCTTCGCGCCTGTGATGTTGGTCATGCCCGCGACGTCCTGGAAGCAACCGACCACGAGCAGCGCAGTTGTCGCGTCCGCGATGACCTGAAATTATAAATTAATCTCGACAGTTCTCTCTCCCTCATTTCATTTCAAATTTATCTCACTAAGCAGAAAAAGAAAGCAACCCTCTCGTTTCTTTCATCTCCAATCTCTGGCGACAACACCATATCCGGCTACCTACTCCGACCGGTGAAGACACTCCCTCTTTTCGACAACATATATTCCAGCAAGGTTGTCTTCTCGTAAGCCCTAATTGCCAAAAGCCCATTCCAGCAAGGTTGTTTTCTCGACTTCAACGTATGGTAAGGTCTCGCAAATTGCTTGAAGAGTATAGTTACAGATTGATTGTTTGTGGTTTGAGGAATGTAACTCTTTTCTTCCTTCACAATTCTCAAACGCATTATTCCGCACACAAAGTGTTCGAGAAATTGTCATGACTATGCAAGAGGGCCATATTGCTTGCATCCACTAATTTCCTTCGAGAGTATTCAATAACCGAGCATGGGAAAGTCTTCGTCATCAAAAGTCCCTCCAAAGGCAAAAGAAAAGCAATTATAGCAACCCCGCCTACTTCACCGAAGTCGAACAACAGCAACTCGAACTCGGACACCAAAATTCAAACTTTGACTCAAAAGCACGGCATTTCATTCTCAATTTTCTCTCAATATGAGGTGAACTCGTACAAACGCCTCATGAAGATGAAATGTCGAATCTCACGGACCCTTGATTGGGAGTTGCTAGACTCACTAAAAATCTCGGATGACGTGAGGAAAATATTTGAAGGCACTCAATCTTGGGAAGTACGAAACCATGGATATGGTGGCATGCGCGGAACTATCACTTGAATTCTTTAGCACAATTATTGTGCACAACGACGACAAATATTTCACTTTCCAGATGAAATGTAATGAATATAAGGTTGATAACAAGGTGATGCAAGAGGTCTTTGGTTTCCGCACGACGAGGTCTCGTCAAGTACCCGGTGATTTTGGCATAGACAAGCATTAGGTCGTTCTCTCTCCATGTGACAAATTCAAAGTAAATGGACCATCAAATGGGCTAATCAAAGATGCGGCCATTGCAGTGGTACATAAATTTTTGTGCTTAGGCTTTCAAAGAACATGCGTCTTCATTGGCGATTCGAATGAACGTGATGAGCTAGCAACATTTGTTGATTGGATAGCGAGCATCGGAGATGGAACATTGGGGGTACAAATAATGAATGTTCTACGATAGACATACCAGATGATCTATTACTAGAGCCATCCGATTATCCAATTGCAAAAATTGTTGAAAGCATGTATCTGATGTTCAAGAATACAGCCGATGATCTAAGTTACTTGAAAGACAGGGCTATACGTGCCCCAACACTCGATATCGTAGAATCTATAAATGCATACATGTCGTCGTTGGATTTGACTGAATGGCGCATATATTTAAGCACAGACAGTACGTGTAAATCTGACTCCAATACCGACTTTTTGGCACAACTCCATACTTCTGAGTTTTGGAATACTATCAAGCGTTCTGGAATACCGAATCATGAGTTGAATTTGAAGGTCAGAACTCCAGTTATGTTGTTGCGGAACATGGATCACTCAATGGAACTTCGCACTGGTACACGATTGGTTGTGACCAAACTCTCCAATCATGTTCTCTAGTGAAAAATTCTTATTGGCGATCATGCATGTGATAAAGTTTTGATAACTCGGACAATGGAACTTCGCACTGGTACACGATTGGTTGTGACCAAACTCTCCAATCATGTTCTCTAGTGAAAAATTCTTATTGGCGATCATGCATGTGATAAAGTTTTGATAACTCGGACGACAATAACTCCTTCTGAGGTTAGAGTACCATTTTAATTTCAAAGAAGGCAGTTTTCAATTATGGTTTCCCATTCAAATTTCAAGGTCAATCCTTATGGCATGTAGGCTTATTTTTTAAGAAACCAGTTTTTAGTCATGGTCAGTTATATGTTGTTGTCTCCTGTTGTAACAGAAACGGTCTGAAAATTATAATTTGTTGAGAGGAAGGTTTGAAAGAAAATCAAACCAATAATGTTGTGATAATGTTGTGTATAGAGAAGTGTTTAATAATACATGATTTTTTTGTACTTTGTATTTCTCCCTCTTTTTTTTCCATTATAATCAAATTATTAATTTATAAGAAAAATATTTAAAATAAAGTTTAGAAAAAAGGTATGAGGAAACAACTCCGCTAACGCAAAAGTAGAAAAAAAAAACAAAAGAGAAAACTCATGGGAATTTTTTTTAAAGAGAAACTGTGCTTTTTTCTTAACTAGTTCAGAACTAAGGGCCAGATTTTATAATTATGCCAAAAAAAGGATAAGAAGAAAGAGAGCAAGTAGAATGGTACCTGCCAATTTTCTGAGCTTCCGAACGGATAATATAAAAGAATCAGTGTCGTTCTGGCCATCTGGTGACCTTCATGTGTGGTCAAAGGCCAAAAGGGGCTCCGATAAAGACGAGAGAAGCTCAAATAGCAAATGGATCAGATCAAAGATGTAATATACCGTGTGACAGAAAAAAGATTCAGCTTAGCACTTTGAGAATTTTCAACTAAATTTTTGCATGCGTGCCCATGTTCTGTACCTGCAGAGTTTCTTCAGCTACCATATCATCCAACAGAAGTATCTCTTTTACAATTCTTGAGAATACAGATTCTAAAATCATGGCCATGCTCTTCTCGTAGATTGAAGGAAGTAAGAGAGGCTCCCAAATGATGTGCATTTTCTCAATAATGAACGCAACCTGAAGAAATTTAAGGTGTCTTGAAAATAAAATATGGCAAAAATGGAGAAGAGGAAGGAAATAGAAGCGATTGCATACCTGGTCTATAAAAAACTTGGCTGATTCAAATTGTTTGATCTGGTGGGTATTTTGAAATCCGTCAGCTCCATCAATAGCCTAGCAGAAAGCCAGAAAAATAAAAATAAAAAATAAAATTACAGCAAATCAGATTAAAAACTAAGACCATGTAAAAATGTGTGCCCATATAATTTCCCACAAATATATGTACCTGAATCAAATTTTGAAGGACAAGCTGAATTTGTCTCTTCAAAACATCTTCAGCCATGAGCTGGAATCTGGGAGCCAAATCAACAAATAACACATGTTCTTTCACAGAACTGGGAAAGTATGGGAGATACTGTGACATTATAAAAGAGCCATTAGGAATTTAGGATATATATAAAGAAAATTACATGCTCTTAAAATATATAATAGCAAGTCTTATTTCCAAACAATCCTTCAGATACGAGTCGAGATTATGAACAGTTACATGTGTGTCTAGATTATGAAGAATTCATCACATAAATAATCAACAACAGCAGCAGCAGCAGCAGCAGCAGCAGCAGCTGCTAAGTTACATGTGTGTCTAGATTATGAAGAATTCCTCACATAAATAATCAACAACAGCAGCAGCTGCTGCAGCAACAACAACAACAACAACAACACTTTGAAAACAAAAAGAATCAAGTTCCTCTAGTCAAATGACATCAGCAAACTGCCACTGCCGACCAATAACATGGAGAATTTCTCACGTAGACTTGTGATAGTAGAGTCAAAGGAAGATGTAGCTCGAAACAAATAAGAAACCAAATTTCATATATTAGTATTCACCTTATTCTAATAAATAGATATAGTTAAAGAGACATCAACACCACATTCATGCATACCTCAAATGCAAGCCAAGAATCTCCTGAGATAGGTAGAGGCAGTCATTGTGAATCAGAACAGCAGCCTGGTTGATCGAATCCAACTGTCTTTGAAGCTTCAAGAATTCAAGAGAGAGTCACAAATTACCATGGCTATATAGAAACTCGTGCAGCATCTATAGAATTCTCAAACGATTAACTGAAAAGATAAATAAATCCAGAATAGTAACTGCCTAAAACAAATATAAAAAGTCCATAAACTAATCACATGCATTCTCTACCAACCTTCACAGGTATGATAGCTTCATAAAGAACTAAAGCTTTTCTAGCAGCATGATAGAATTCCAATCCACCTTTTGGAGGTAGAAACATATATCCTGCATAACCATCCCAAAGAAAATAAGCTATACAGAGCACACACACACACACACGTGCATGGAGAGAACCAATGTACTTAGCTCAGGTAGAGAAATGAGAAGCTGTATTTTACAAAGTTTCTTTCGACATCTTCCTTCTAAAGGTTAGATCCCTAATCCCTAAAACCAGCTGAATCCGAAGCAAAAGAAGACATTCTCACAGAGACTCAATTTGTGGTTTTAATTTTATAGGACTTGTACTCTACAACTGCACCAGAAACTAGGTGCTGCATTGCACAAAGTTAACTGACCTTGAGAGTTTGATGCACAAGCTCCATTAGCTGTTTGGCTGCCTCAGACACCACACATTTCTCAGATGAGAAGAGTAGAACAGCATGATTAAAGATATCTCTAGCATGTTGTTCCTTATGGACTCCTGAAATTTTCATAATAAAGTCCTGCAGGAAACAATGTAAGTTGACTGACAAACATAAAGTATTAGAAAAGCTCTGAATCTAGATTGTATACTCACTTGAGGAAGACTGAAATTAGATTGCAGAAGCATATTTCTGGCCTTAGACAAAATCTGAACTTTCTTTCGTGATGCAACGTGAATCTCAACATTGTCAGCAAATCTGCTTAGCTTCTCATCCTTGATGCCAGATGGGGATATGAACCCAAGTCCCTTTAGAGCTGTCTCGAAATCAATTGTTAGTTTCCTGACCTCTTGGAACTCAGCCAGCTTGGAAGCATCAGCAGGCACAACCTGAATTCAAAGTGGATGGTACTGTGACTACCAAACATGTGAAAGTGATAATTTTTATATGTGTAGAACTTTGAAATTTGTTTACCAAACATGTACGAATGCAAACACCATGTATATTTTTCAACAGTTCTTCAGAGAATACCTATCATTGACATTTAGAAGAAACTGCAAAATAACAATGACAGACCTTGGAAAGAAAATTGGAAATAATCATATCTGACATTTGTGGCCAAGTCAATCTTCCGAAACAGCACATCCAAGAACTATTTCAAAAGACTAAGAACTTGTTAACAAACTCAACGATCTGAAGAATGCTGGAGTACATAATTTCACCATTCACCTTGTTACCCTGCAATACAAAGAAGATTGGAGTACATAGAAATATAAGAATTTCAAAACTATGTGTGAATGGTCTGCTATTCAAACACATACTTTGTTGTACGAACAAGCTAGATATAAGAGAAAAGTAATTACGCATGCCATATTCCTAACACGTACCGCAGGATCAACAGAAGGAACCATTTTAAACACTGCCTCTGGGGCATGGCCCGAGTCCTGATTGATTTCTTCTATATATGGAGTCGCACTCACTAGTGGAGTAAGGACATATTTAATAATCCAATCTGCAACTTTAGCAAGCCCATAATCGAGTATGCCAGCAACCTACATAAGCAGTATGTGCAATACTCATAGTCATGGAATTAGTAGAAAGGGAACTAAAATGTTCCTTAATCAGCATTATGTATCAATAGATACAACAGTAAAGATAACTCACATCCAGTGCTTTCAAAACAGTGTATAGCTCTAGCCCATCAATCCCATTCACTTATCTGATGCTTAATATGCAGTGCATTACCTCCCTGCTCAACTTCCACTGCTTTCTCCATAAACCTCAAAAGCAGCTCTTGAATCTACATCCAAATTGAATGGATCCAAATAAAAATCATAAATTTCAATAAAATAATCATGCCGTGACTAAGATAGACCCAGAAAAAAAGTACAAACTTAACTACAAGCAACACGCCTAAAAATGATACGATACACGACACAACTAAGTTGTGTAAGATTATGCTCATACATTAACACAAAATACAATAAGCTCTTGACATAACATCACAGTGTAGAAAACACATAATCCATTAACTGATACAAAAATAAAATTTGAGCTAGCACCATGTCGATATTACTATACAAGTAAAAATGGAAAATCAAAAATGATAACGAAAGCAAAATAAAATAGCTTTAAAACCTTCTCAAAACAGTCCGCCCGTTGCCTTTTGAGAATCCCATACACCTCCGGCTCACCTTCGGCTGCCACCTCAGCATCGCTGAGGGCCCTATCTCCAATGGCAATCTTCAGCTCCCTCAGTCCTCCGTCGCCTCAACTACCCTGCCACTTTTCACATCATCTCTAACCACCCCAAACTTTCTATGTAATTCCAAAATCGCCCCGACAAACTGCAGAAGCTCCCTCTTCTCCATCGCCTCCAGCCTCTTCTCCACAATCTTCCGAACGATCCTTCTGATATCCGCCTCGATTGGCTGATCGCATATCAGCTTGAGCAGCTACAACGTCGTCCGATAGACGCTCCGACCTGGAAACGACGTCGGAGCACTGGGAGAACAGGGAGGCGAATTCGTCGTGGTGCGCGAGGAGGTACGATTGGACGGTGGATTTGATCCTCAGCGAGTGGGCGTCGAGGCGAGATATGAGGAGGCAAAGATCCAGCGCCGATAGCGGCGAGGAGGTGGATTCCGGCGAGGAAAGAAGATCCTGGACGTTGATTGTATCGAAGATGACGTCCATCAGGAGAGTCCACTGAGTCGACGGTGGGGAAGTCCGCAGCCGATAACTCATAGTGGGTTTTCAGTGATTTAGGAATATTTGCACTTTCAGACGCCAAAGCACGAGCGCTTTATTTAAAGCGGTCAGTCAAGGGAGGATTTTATTTAAATAACCCTTTCTAACACGTTTTTTTTGTTTAAGTAACTCATTTTTTAAAGGTAAAATTACATATTAATACACCATTTTTCATGTTTTTACAATTTAATCATTATTTAATACACCACTTTCACTATTTTTTGCAATTCGAATCACAGGGCCCAAATTGGGTTTTTCGCAATGTTCTGAAAACCGAACCGTTCATCGAACTGGTGAAACTACTGGTTCAATGATTCACTGGTCGGACCAATGGTTGAACCGGTTAAACCAGTTTAATTAATATGTAATTATTTATTTATTTTATATGTATATTATATATTTACATAAATTTTTATCATTAGTTTTATAGTGTATAATGACATTTCTCTATACACAAATTAATTGTATTTATCTTTTATCATTAATATATATGATTTAATTTTTATTTTTTTTTAAGATGGGCTTTTAGTTTTGAATTTTAATAAAAATTAGGAAAAAAAGATGGTCCAAGTCATTACAACTTGCAGTTGCTAACTTGCCACACCAAAGAAAAAGGTCCAATCATTTGAGGAATTTACAGTCCTACTTTAAGTTGTAAAATATATTACACTTGTGCACCTATTATAATAATATTTGTATATTTACCATAACATGAATAAAATATTGCACTTCTACCTAAAATGTTTTAATTTCTTGCTCCTCTTTTTTTTTTTTTTTTAATTCTTCTTATCTCTCACCTTGTTCCATTTTTCGGTAACATCCTTCTTCCCCTTTCATTTTTCATTTGTCTTCTTCCTCCCTAATTATTTCTGTATTTTTTATTTCTCAAATTCACAAACACAAAACTCCAACCAGCCGCCAAAGTTGTTCGCGCGGGGGTCCTCACTTTCTGCTTCTTGTTGAACAGAAGCTTTGGCATCTTAGTCACCACCAGCGGCTCCCCTCCATCATTATTTCCTGTTCCTCCAAATTCATAAATAAAGGAACCATTACATTAAAAAAAAAAAAGTAGTTGTTCTAGAAATTTAATCAAACACCTTGAGGGTGAGGGGAGCCGGATTTGTCATCCACATCAACATACTCGTTCCAATCATTCCTTTTAGGCTTCTCCGGAATTTCGAGGGTCTCGACTTCTAGTTGCGTCTGATCGGACATCTGGCGCGACATGTTGGAAGCCTGGACGAATTTACGTACGTCCCTGGCCATGGAGTTATGAGCAAACACCTTGCGCCGTAAGGTTTTAAATTAAGAAAATGAATTTTGAATCGTCGTTTTTGTTCGTTCTTTCATGTCAAAAATTCTGGGATTTGAAATGAATAAAAATTATTGGAATTAATTTGGTTCTATTCATTATTATATGTTTGCAAAATCTAGGAATTGGAATTTCCGTACATCGTTTGGAATGGTTTTGTTGTTTTCTTCGAACTCAATATTTTGGGAATTGATGTCCCCGAACACTTCCCGCCGGCGCCGTTGCCACTGAGGATGTCTGCCGAAATTCGCTCTGCCAAGAGCCGCTGCCGGGGCGGTTGTTATTAATTACAAAAAATTGGGATTGAATTGGGATTGAAGCCGTGAAGCCGCTGCCGGAGATTAAAGCTCATCCTCGATATCTTGTTCTCGACAGTGAAGCCGCTGACGGCGATTGTCGCCATTGGGACTGGCAGCAAGGGCTCACGAGTCCGGAAAAAAAAAAACAGCATTTTGACCGCCAATGTAATTCCGACGTGAGGACGCCTGCTGGGGCGGCTGGGACTTGGCGGAGATGAAAATCCGCGGCAGAGGATAATCCAAGGCCTTTTTGTTTGAGACAAATTCAAGGCCATGATTGAAGATTGGATGAAAAACTTCTCGGAGAATAATTATTGAACACTTGATGTGCTTGATTTGTTGATAGATAGTTTTTATTTTGTATATATTGCGGGTATATTTTGTGTATATATGGAGTATATGTTCTGTTTTTTTTTTAACCTGATTTCCCTTTTTTTTTTCTTTAACCCGTGGCACGACAAAATCGGCAATAATGTTGCGTGTATATGTTGTATATGATCAGTGTATGTCCAGTATATGTTTTGGATGAAAAACTTCTCAAGAGGATAATTGTTGAACACTTGATGTACTTGATTAGTAGATAGATATTTTTCATTTTGTATAAGTTGCGGATATCTGTTGTGTATATATGAAGTATATGTTCTGTATAATATAAGAGCTACCTTATATGTATGTATGGTTTATACTGACAAAGCTTACACTGATTTTTTTTCTTTTTTTTTTTTGTATATGTATGGTTTATATTCAGTATATTTTAGGTATATGATAAAGAAATTTATCGCGAGACATAAGTTTTATGCATAAAATCTATTTATATTAAATAATTTTTTTTTGTTGGTGTTGTGTATATATATGGTTTTATATTAACTAAACTCTTATAATATGTTTTTAAACTATATATATACTTTTATGTATAAAAGAAAAGAAAAAACAAAAGAAGAAAAGAGGAAGCTATAATTTTTTGATGGGAGAAATTTTTTTAATTACAACATATGCTGAATATATACTAACATAAACGCAATACATACCACATAGCAACTTTTAGTCGTGTAAATTGCATTGTTATGTATTTATAGTTTTCAATTTTTTCTTAAATAAAATTCAAAAATAATTATGGTTAGATAAATATACTGAAAATATACTGAGTATAAATGCAACATATACGAAAATTATTCAGTGGCCAATGAAATTTATACTTTTTTATGCATTATATAAATTTTTATTGATTACAGAAATTATACTTTTGATCTTTCGGATCTGAGTATACTGATAAATATACTTTTTTTTTCAGAACATATACTTTTTTATTGATTACAAAACAACTTTCTTCGTATGCAGAACATACACTTTTTTTCACATTAGATACAGATAAATATACTGAAAATATATTGAGTATAAATGCAACATATACTTTATTATTGATTACAAAACAGCTTTTTTCGTATTCTGTTTTTAGTGTAAATGTTGCAACATTTACTGAATATATACTTAAATATAAGCGCACTATATACTATTGCGTAAAACGCTCGTGAATCATTTATTGTGTCTAATGTGTTTAATGTATCCAATTAAGGAAGCCAATGATTTTTTTGTAATAGCAGCAAATCAAGTGCCAAAAATAATAATTGATTCTTTGTGTATTTTATATGCATGATTTTTTGGTAACAGCCCGCATAGCAGGCGCAGAAATAAGGAATGGAGAGCTAGAAATAAGGAATGGAGTTTGACACTGTAAATGGATTTTAGGCATCAATGTAATTAATTATTGTCTATCACAATTAATTGTACATGAATGATAATTTTATAATATTTTAACAATCACGTGGGATGCATAAAAATTTCCCATCATTTTAAATTCATTGGGCCTTTTGATTTATGAATGGCCCACCACGCCACAGTCCGACAAGCAAGTAAAAAGAAAGGAAAGAGCTTGTCCCACATTGAAAAGCTAACAAAGAAACAAAGGGTTTATAATGAAAAAAGTCAGCAAGCCAGCCAGTGTGAAGAACCAGCCGTTGTACCGGTGGAATCAGATTCGGTTTACCAGTTTTATAGGTTTTGGAACGGTCTGTACGGTTTCTAACCGGTTTTGGTGTTCAGCGGTATAATGACTTAGACTGGACCGTTGACATGTTCGGTTCCCAGTTGAAGTCGAGAAAACAACCTTGCCAGAATGGCTTTTGGCAATTAG